CAATCCATGTCATGATTTTTGGCTTCATTTATTTTGATTTTTAGTTTCTCTCAGTAAGATTTTGTAGTCTTCCATGTATGACTTTTGCACAATTGTGTTAAACTTATTCCTACATACTGCAATGGTGTTTTTTTTCTTTAATAAATATATTATCATTTATTTACATTTATTCTCCAGTTGTTTATTGCTGTTGTATAGAAATGTATCTGAGTTTTGTGTATTGACCCTCTGCCTGCATTAGCTTGGATCATTAGTACAATGTTGAATAAAAGATCTATAATTAGACACGCTTTTCTTTCTCAGGTCCTATGGGGGAAAACATGTAGTCTTATACCATTAAATATTTGGTTAGGAGCAATGGGGGGGAGGGCATAGATTCCTTTCATTTTGAACGGATATGAGTAAGTTCTATTCTGTTCCTAATTTTCTGAGGTTTCTTTTCATAAATTTGCATTGAATTATGTATAGTACTGGGGCACCTGGGTGGCTCAGTCGTTAAGCGTCTGCCTTCGGCTCAGGTCATGGTCCCAGGGTCCTGGGATCGAGCCCCGCATCAGTCTCCCTGCTCAGCGGGAAGTCTGCTTCTCCCTCTGTCTGTTCTGCCTGTTCTGCCTGCTCTGCCTGCCGCTCCCCCTGCTTGTGCTCTCTCTCTCTCTGACAAATAAACAAAATCTTAAAAAAAAAAAATTATGTATAGTACTTTTTTTCTGAATCAATTAAGATATTTATATGTCCTTTCTTTATTCTGCTAATACAATGAATTACATTGATTGATATGAATATTAAAGCAGACTTTCATTTCTAGGATAAATTTCTCCTTGCTAAGTTTTTTTTTTTAATTATTATTATTTTAAATGAACATACCAACCATGCAACTTGGGATTCATATTGATAAGACAACATGTTTTTTGTAGTCCTGAATTAACAAACGTGATAAAGCATAATAAATAAATTAGGTGTTGGTACATATAAAAAAATAAGGCTGTTTATCCCTGCAGAGTGCTCATTAATTCATTCATTCTTATGTAATATGAGGTAATTAATGATAGGAATCTGGATTGATCCTTGGTCTCATTCATTCAAAAAACAAACAAAATTTTCCTCTGTGACTAGGTCGAAACAAAGGTCATGAGCCTCAGGATTAGAGAAAATGAGACAGCTATTGATATTTTAATCATACTGAATAACTCATCATCTGAAACAATAGAATACATATAAGAAGAGAAAATTTAACAGAGTTAATTAATAGAGCTCTAAAAGGTACATATAGCGTCTATCACCTGTGAGATATTTTACTAGATGCACACATGGAAAAAATATGACAGTTTCAAACTCAAAAAAATGTCCTTTATTTCCTCATATTACATAGAGCATTTGGACTATACATTCACTAAATATAAAACATATTTGAATGATATGACTTAAAATATAGTATTATTGGTGTACCAAGAAATCACCTTCCAGGTCACTAGGAGTACAAGTAAAATATAATCTTCTTTCATATAAGAAAATGTGACACATTGATTTAAATATTCCTTGGTATCAGTTCAAATTATTTTAATACGACCCTAAGTTTATTAATGAGAATAATGGTTCAGGTATGAATGCTCATTATCTTTTCCATATCATTTAATTTTATTTTTATAGACCTATGCATAAGAAATTATACCAGAAAAGAAGTGTCAACCTGGAAAAAATGACTTCAGTGTTAGCAAGATCTAACATATAAAAGAATTCTGAGAGAATCTAAATGTCAATCTGAAAAATATAGCCACTTAATGGCCAATTAAGAGAGAGAGAAACTTCCAAGATAAAATAAAAATAATGTCCACAAAGCAAAATCTCTTGTGTGCTGTTGACATAGGTCATCACCTTCCAGAACAGCTAAATAAACCCTGAGGCTTAGGTTAATGCAGAGAGGGAAGTAGGTATAATATACAACACAGCAATTAGATTCACTTAAACCTGGTTCACAATGTAAAATATTTTACAGTGTTGAACCCTGACGTTATGGGTTGAATTGTTCCGCTACAGAAGATGTTGAAGTCCCAAGCTCCAGATGTGATCTTATTTGAAAATAGGACATTTGCAGATAACCATGGTAAGATGAGATCACTAGGGTGGACCTTAATCTATACAGTCGGTGTCCTTATAAAAAAAAGGGGGACACTTGGACAAAGAGACAGACACACTGGAAGACAAAAGGGGAACACTATCTATAAATCAAGAAATGCCCAAGGCTCCCAGAAGCTAAGAGAGAAGTATGGAACAGATTTCTCCCTTACAGCCCTTAGAAGAAACCAATCCTTTTGATAGCTCTATCTCAGACTTCTAGCCTTCAGAACTGCCAGACAATACATTTCTGTTTCTAAACCACCCACTCTGTGGTACTGTTACATGAATCAGGAAACTCATATCTCTGAGGGGAAAGATGTGAAGAAGCAGTTTAAAACGCTTTTTGGCTGCAAGTAACAGAGTACCTAGTCCTAGTGGCTTAAATCTAGTTTACTCATTTAAAAAATGTTGGGAGGACAACAGCCACTAATTTCTGGGTGGTAACTCACTGAAGGAATCAGAGGTCAAAATATTTCTATTTGTGTACTCTACCCACTTTAGAGTTGAGACAGTCAGACTGCTGGTGCTAAAGATCTGGCCATCAGGGCAGATGGAGTGGATATTGACCCAAACCATATTTCTTTCTTTCTTCTAGGAATTCAGTGTTTTCCCAGGAAATTTCAGTAAAATGTGTATTATGAGCTCTTGTCTATAACTTTGTTGTATGACACCCCCCACCCCATATACTAAGAAGGATGAGGAAGCATATATTTAGGTAATTAAGTCTCTAAGGTGGAACCAGGCCAAAGAGAAGGAGCTTGAGAATAAAATTGGGATATCCAACCATAATGTCTTGCAAAGGGGCTGTTACAGTGATTATGTCATTTTGGACCATTCAGAGTACCCAGAGCTTAAGACATCGCTATTTGCACAGTAACACCCAGAATCCAGTCATAAAGGAAAAAACATTGAGTCTAGGTGAATATACCCAATGCAGTGGATAAGATAAGAAGAATAAAACAACCATGGGCCCCTTGATTTTTTTCAAAATCCTCCTTTGCTTTCATGTATCTAGATGCTCCTGGGAGATTTTGTTTTATATGGTTATTCATAAATGGCATGGGAAATGTATCTAATTAACAGGCACTAATTTGTTCTTCAGATGCTTCTTACTTGGGCAACTAACTCTGTTCTATCTGCAGGGTGAAAAAGAACAAGGATTTATTAGTATTCCACATGTGGTAGAAATACAAATGTCATCCATCAAGACGTTTTCTTATAAAGGAAACCATATTGTAGCAGTTATTCATTGATATAATATTAAAATATATTATCACTTCAACACTGTATCTTAAATTTTATGCTTAAAAGAAGTTTTTCCCCTGAACAATTCTCTAGGTTGTATTTTGTTAAAATATATGCAATACTATTTTTTTATTAATGATGAGCTAATTCTTCCACTTGTGTATTAAAATAATAGCATTCCCAAATTATTACTTTATAAAGATCTAAGTAAATGCTTAAAATATACATAATCAATAACATGAGATGCAACGAAATGATCATAAAACTTATTCCCTTATCGGTATTTTGCAAATAGGCAGAGGCAGAGAGGATAAACTAAAATGTAGCCTCCATTGAAGAAATGAAAGACCGGGCTTTTTTCATTGGTAGAATTTTTAAATAAACTTGGATGAACAAGAAAATATGCATTGAAAATATACTCAATGTCATTACATAATGAGATGTTACAGACATAACAATCCGATGACTCTAACTAGGTGACTATAACCTGCATTGACTGGCATGCTATATCTATAAAACCAAATATTCCCAGGGCTCCTCTCACTTGTCCCTGCTGATGCTAATTAAAATGCTGAGGGATTGTATCATTTAAGAACTGCATTTTGCTGCTAATCAAAGAATTGTAAAATAGAAGTGAGTTAAGCATATGCAAGTGTCTCTTCTGCTCTCACATAATAAAATCAGTGTTGACCCCAGTGTAGGGCGGCAAGGTGGCTCTGTAGCCATCTGCTCATGGCTAGTGGCAGGTGGCTCCCATGCTCATATTCCTGGTGGCTGGGGGGAAGCATGGTCCAGGAAAAAAGGTGCATCTCCTAACTGATTAGCCCCTTTCAAGAGATTTCTCTCAAACTCCCAGGCAAAGCCTTGCAGGTACATGTCACTGGGCACTGCTAGTTGAAGATATCTTAGAAAATCATCTTTAAGTTGTATATCATGCCGTTCCAAATAAAATGAGGGTTCTGTTACTATAAAGCAAGGAGATCATGGATACTGGGATGACACATTTAGGAAAAGCAAGCAAAGTACTGTGATGTGTGTTCATGGAATGGTAGTTTGGGTGAAGAAATTCAGGTGTTTACCAAAGAGGAGAGAAATTTACCATGCTCTGATATATGCTTGGAAGTGTAGTGTATAAAACCATCAGACCTGTCTGTTCAGATATGGGACACAAAGAAAACAGGCAACCTTCAGTTCACAATGTGGAACCTTGGAATGAAGAGTCCAGAAAATAAGAACACTACTGTAGAAACACATTAGAGACATGTCAGTGTATTCAACTATGAGGGGGATGATTAAATTAGAAGGCTCTTCTGACCTCTTATATGTATCATTTTGTTATTTACTATAGAAGTGTAAGATTACTGCCTGGCTTAAGAATAGTGGACATGCAATTTTCCAAATGGTTGATTCTTCTTCTAGACACATCTCAGTAAGATTTGTACTGAGTCATTTTTAATGATCTCTTATCAATAGTCTAAGGCTATACAGAAGAACTCTATTTTCTATGGAAATATGGAGGATAAATGTACTACTAGTGTCCACTGAAAATCTAATGAACAGGAAAGAGATTATTCCAGTGACTTTAATTTCTACTATACAAATCCCTTCACCTGTTATTTAAAGATTTTTATTAAAGGGACACCTGGCTGGCTCAGTTGGTAGAGCATGTGACTCTGGATTTCAGGGTTGTAAGTTCGATCCCTACGTTGGGTGTAGAGACTACTTTAAAAAGGTATATATATATATAGGGCGCCTGGGTGGCTCAGTTGGTTAAGCGACTGCCTTCGGCTCAGGTCATGATCCTGGAGTCCCAGGACCAAGTCCCGCATCAGGCTCCTTGCTCAGCAGGGAATCTGCTTCTCCCTCTGACCCTCCCCCCTCTCATGCTCTCTCTCTCTATCTCATTCTCTCTCAAATAAATAAAATCTTTAAAAAAAATAAAAAATAAATGAAAAATAAATAAAAATAAAAAGGTATATATGTATATATGATTTTTATTAAAATACCCTATTTCTATAAAGTGAAAATTATCTCCATTTTATATTGATGTTTATTTATATTGCTTTGATATTAATTTTTCAGAAAAGAGAAAGCAATCAAAGCTTCCTAAATATTCTACAATTGATACATGATTGTATTATTCATTATTGTAATGACTCTGTATATTATATGTATTATATTTATATACATTATATGTAGTACATTATATGTATTACATATATATTATATGTAATATTCATTATTGATACATGAATTCAGTCACTAACCATATTTTATGCATTTAAATATTTCAAGGCCCTGTATCATCTTTACTAGAACATTCATGATTATTCAAAAGTGTGTACTATCTATGCCTAATAGCAAATGTACCAAACTTCTCAGTATACTTTCCAGAATAACAAATAATATCTCAATAATTTCAAAATACATACTTATTTTTCAGGAAATGAGAACACATGTTATTATGAACAATTTAAACAACTTTAAAAATCAATAGTACTTTGAAACATAAAATGCGCCTTAAAACGCAAAAACAAAGACAAAGACAAAGACTGTATGATATCACCTGTATGTGGAAACTAAAAAAGCCAAACTCATAGAAACGGAGAGTAAAGGGGTGGTTACCAGGGAGTGGGGGGTGCGATGGGGGAAAAGGAAAGGGGAGATGTTGGCCAAAGAATACAAACTTCCAGTTTTAAGATGAGTATGTTCTGGGCATCTAATGTCCAGCTGCTGTTTATACTTAATAATCCTGTATTATATACTTTAGAGTCGCTGAGAAAGTAGATCTCAAACATTCGCACCACAAAACAGAAATGGAAATTATGTGAAGAGAGGCAGGTGTTAGCTAAGGCTGTGGTGGTAACAATTTTATAACATATAAGTGTATCGAATCAACACATGGTTCACCTTAAACTTGTATAATGTTATATGTCAATTATATATCCGTAAAGCTTGGAGGGGGGAAGCAAAACCAAGTTGAGTCAATACTACAAACTTTGGGGAACATGTCAAATCTTTAATATCATAAGCATATATGACCATGGTCTAAAATATTTTATTTCAACTCTGTTTACATTAGGAAATTGTAGTTGATATCTCCGCTAGTCATCACATTATTCCCCCTCAGAAACTGAATTATAAAGAAAATGTTAACAATGCCTTCTTTTTCATACAATTGAAATTGCTTTCGATTTTCATCTCTTCAGCAGTTTCTTTTTTTACAACCAGCCTCCTATGAACTATATTTCATATTTATCCCTTTTACTTCTACTTGCTTCTTCCATTGGAATTTTATTGTTTGTTTGTTTTTTAACCTATGGACTACCACATAAAGAGAGATGTACTTTATTGAATTTATGTTCGGAGTGGCTAAGAGACTGCCGGAAATTCTGGAGGAATGATAATTTGGAATATGCAATGATATACTGCTTTTGCATAGTAATACTGCTTTTGCATAGTAAAGAATGAAATTCAACCCACCCTACACTTTCCGACATAATACATATTAAAGAAAAATTTGTTTTACAAGCTTTCAAAAACAGCGACTACATACGGAAGCCACAAAATCTAGGAGAAAGAAATATTGGTCCCAAGTCAAAACCAAATCAACAATATAACATAGAAAGCTATTTTTATACAAAATTCACAGTAGGACTCTTTAAAAATATTTCTCTATCTCCAGAATTTTGTCTCATCATGTCCCCTGTGGACCCAGTGATGTATAGTGTGATTCCTTCACAATGACATGGAAAAAACACAAGGTTGTCTCTCTTATTCTCTGTCATAAATATTAAAATTGGAATGGTACTTGGGTTCTAAGGCATTACCATTTTTTTGAAAGATGTAATTTAAAAGTGTATAACACACTGCTTAATTTTCCTTTAACCAAGCCTAATCGTATTGTCTGTCTTTTCCTTATCCTAAATTATGGTTTTTGTAAAATTCCATCAAAAATTAAAAGCTATCTTGTACTAAAACAACTGAATTATAATAATGCTTTAGGATATAATAAGAATCCCAAAAAGCACTGGACAATAAGTTAAGTTAAAATATTTCCCTGAAATCAAAAGGGATTTTTTAAACATCACAAACTTCTGGCCGACTGTGTATCTTGCAATAGGGGTCTTAGTGAGAAAATGCTTCACTAAAGCCTAAGAATCCTACAAAACAGCTCAGATTAGAACTTTGAGTTATTCTTACTGCAAAACACAGATTTAACAAGCTATGACTTCAGAAACATCTGACTACAATAAAATTTAATGTTGAAAGATTGGTGTTATATGCACTTGAAAATTTCTTAAGTTATTACATCCGAAAACAAAATATACACGTAAGTGTTCCTGGAAATGACGCAAGTATAATTGTTCCTTCACTATTTGGAGTTTGCTTTTTTTCCAACCTTAATCTGAATCAATCTGAATCAATCTGGAAAAAAAAAGTTAAAATTCATGGTGATTGGTATAGTGCTAATGTAACATTTGGATTGATAAACAGAATGTAGACTTTACTGAGGTCCTCTTCTATAGGGGTTTAGTTTATCTTCTTTTCAATCTCTGTGTAAATATCCTTTGGTTCCAATTACATAAGGGTCCTCATTAGGACAGTTATTATGGGCTGAATTGTGTTCTTCCCAGATTCATATATTGAAGCCCTAACCCCCAGCACGACAGAATGTCACTAAGATGGGGTTTTAAAGAGGTAGTTAAGGTTAAATAAGGTCATTGGAGTGGGACTTAACGCAATTTGACAGATGTCCTTATAAGAGGAAATTGGGATACAGATACATACAGAGGGAAGAGAATTTGAAAATATAGGGAAAAGACAGCCATTAACGGACCACAGAGAGAAGCCTCAGAAGAAACAACTCTGTGGATGCTTTAACCTTATATTTCTAGCCTCCAGAACCATGAGAAAATGAACCTCTGTTGTTAAAGCTACCCACTCTGTGGTATTTTGTTACCACAGCCTTAGAGAACTAATACAATATTGTTGCTAAGTGGATCTGATAAAAATAATTTTTTAATCATAATAGGGAATTGATAGTGTTATTCTTATATATTTTGTTAATAGATTTGCTTATATAGGACATCCATATATTCATGACATACACTGCAATTTGTCTTTTATTGTATGATACATTCAAGGTTCTGCTGAATTCTTTTAGGTAATATATTATAATGGATTTTTCATAATGATAGTCTGACTGAAAAAATATTAGGCTATTCCAAATATTAGGCCTCCTTCCCTGTCTTGATGAGAAAATCTAAAAATTATATTTAGCTCACTTGTAAATATGAATTAAAGATCTGTTTATGATTAATTAATATATGTACACATTGAAATTAAGGTATATAAAATAATGCATTCATTTAGAAATATTTTCTACCCTCACAGTTTATATTTAGACAGTTAATACCCATTAATTGGTATTCAAACTTGCCAAATGCTTCCTTACCCTGACATGCTGATAGCATTCTGCTAGAACCCATTTTCTAGATAACTGTTAAAATCCAAATATGATGCTATCACTAGAAGTTGCATCCAAAACCATGAGGTTAGAGTTGATTGTGCTGCTCAGATCTTCCATATCTTTGGTGTTATTTTTTCTTATTTTCTGATCATTTCCTAAGAGAGACACCATTAAAAGCTACTACAATAGTTGTGGAATTATCTACTTTTATTAATGTTCCTCCTTAATATTTATTATATAGATATGTACTTAGATTTAATACAATATAGCTCTAGCTATATTAATCTATGTATAGACATATAAGATTAAATATGATATATAGAGAGATACATATAATATATAGACATAACCCTTGAATTCCATCAGTTTTTTCTTTATTTATTTGAAGCTTTAATATTAGGCACATACTCATTTAGAAGACTTGCATTAGTTCTCCATTGTTGTGTAAGACATTACCATGAAATTATGAACTTGAAACATCTGTTTACCAGTTTATGGTTCTGTATCAGAAGTTCAGCATCGTGTGGCTTAGTTTCTCTAGTCAGAATATTTCAAGGCTGAAACCAAGGTGTCAGCCAGACTGTTTTTTTATATGCAGGCTCTGGGGAAACATATCCTTCCCAGATTATTCTGGGTTTTGACAGAATTCATTTCCTTGAAGCTGAGGTCCTTGTTTGCATGCTTACCGCCAGGTGGGGCTGCCATCAGACTTTAGAGGCCACCCACATGACTCGACGGATAGCAGGTACACACAGTTTAGGACCCATTATTGCACATTCCTGCACAAATCTATAAGGGAGGCAATGTTGCTTGTAATAGCAGTCAATTTGGGAAAACAGGTGCCTGGACAACTGGATAAGAAGTGCAGCAGAAGACATGCACTGGACAGAAGAAACAATGACACCAATGGTCTAAGCAATATTGCTCAATCTGAAAGTCATACTGTTGAACAGAAAATACAAGACACAGATAGGGATTCACAGCATAAAACTACAGATAAATGAAAAATAGCTATATATTTAAATTAACTTCATGTTGGGAAAGCAGTTAGCTTACAAAGAAAAATAAAATGCGGGCACCTGGGTGGCACAGTTGGTTAAGCAACTGCCTTCGGCTCAGGTCATGATCCTGGAGTCCCGGGATCGAGTCCTACATCAGGCTCCCTGCTCGGCAGGGAGTCTGCTTCTCCCTCTGATCCTTCCCCCTCTCATGCTCTCTCTCTCTCTCTCTCTCTCATTCT